CAAAGTGCTGGGATTACAGGTGTGAGCCAATGCCACATGCCCAACCTTGGTCATCTTTCTTCTGATGCCTGTAAAAAGAAGCAAGAGGCTACACTCTGAAGCCAACCCCATGATGGAGCAAGATGCTCTTCTAGCTCCCCATTCCCTAAGCTTATTTCCCGGGGAAACTCCTGTGGAGTGTAAAGATGACCACATCAGCAATCTCTGCTTGACCTACTCACTTAATCCACTGAAACTCTACATAAAGAACCTGGGCCATGGGAGGCGGAGCTTGCAGTGAGCCGAGATTGCGCTACTGCACTCCAGCCTGGGGGGACAGAGAGAGCCTCCACCTCAAAAATAAAAAATAAAAAATAAAAAATAAAAATAGGCCAGGCGCGGTGGCTCAAGCCTGTAATCCCACCACTTTGGGAGGCCGAGACGGGCGAATCACAAGGTCAGGAGATCGAGACCATCCTGGCTAAACCGGTGAAACCCCGTCTCTACTAAAAAAATACAAAAAACTAGCCGGGTGAGGTGGCGGGTGCCTGTAGTCCCAGCTACTCGGGAGGCTGAGGCAGGAGAATGGCGTAAACCCGGGAGGCGGAGCTTGTAGTGAGCTGAGATCTGGCCACTGCACTCCTGCCTGGGCGACAGAGCGAGACTCTGTCTCAAAAAAAAAAATAAATAAATAAAATAAAAATAAAAATAAAAGAACCTGGGCCAGCACTTTGGGAGGCTGAGACGGGTGGATCACCTGAGGTCAGGGGTTCGAAACCAGCCTGGTCAACATGACGAAACCCCATCTCTACTAAAAATACAAAAGTTAGCTGGGCACGGTGGTGGGTGCCTGTAATCCCAGCTACTCAGGGGGCTGAGGCAGGAGAATTACTTGAACCCAGGAAGTGGAGGTTGCAGTGAGCTGAGATCGCGCCACTGCACTCCAGCCTGGGAGACAGAGCAAGACTCCATCTCAAACAAAACAAAACAAAACAAAACAAACAAACAAACAAACAAAAAAGAACATAAGAACCTGGGAAGGACTGGACTCTAGAACTCTGAGACTCTGACAGCCAAAGAGCTGGTAAACTGGCTGAGGTCCCAGGGGAGAGCTCTCCCTCAGAGGGGCTAGGGCAGGGCTCTCCTCCAATTTTAGATTAGTTCTGACCATCACCATTCTCTGGAGGAAAACTTCAACATGGAAGCATCACCTGAACTGGGGCAACTCTGCTGAGGTCTCCCTGAGGCCTGGCCTAACGCAAAGTGCAGCATTGGCAGAGTGCTGCTCTGCCAGTTGAGAGGGGGGTGGTAGGGCGTGGGAGCTGGACTTTGTAATGCTCTGGCACCTCTGAGTTCAGATTGAACAAGCCCCACTGGCCAAAAGCAAAGTGGTGATGTTGTCAAAGCCTACTCACCTGCTACATCCCAATCTCAGCTCCTCTCTCTCTCCCACCCTCATCCACCTCCCATAACATGCTTTAGTCCCACCCTACTGTCAATCATTCCTGCAAAGAATACAACTTACAGCCGGGCGCGGTGGTGGCTCACACCTGCAATCCCAGCACTTTGGGAGGCCGAGGCGGGTGGATCACAAGGTCAGGAGATTGAGACCATCCTGGCTAACACGGTGAAATCCCATCTCTACTAAAAATACAACAACAACAACAACAAAAATTAGGTGGGAGTGGTGGTGGGCGCCTGTAGTCCCAGCTACTCGGGAGGCTGAGGCAGGAGAATGGCGTGAACCCAGGAGGCGGAGACGGCAGGGAGGCGGAGACGGCAGTGAGCCGGGATCACACCACTGTACTCCAGCCTGGGCAACACAGCGAGACTCCTTCTCAAAAAAAAAAAAGAAAAGAATACAACTTACGGGTGACCTCTTAACCGAAGTACCTACATTTTAATGGAACACTCTGTAAGGCCCAGATGAATGACTTCGAAGCTATATATATATAGCTATATATATATACATATATATTCTAAAGCAGTCTTCCCTCTGGCACCCACTTCTCAAAGCACCCCACGTATAGATACTGCCAGGGCCATCCACCTTGTTAAGTCTCAATTTCCCCAGCAATAAAAATGAGCAGCCAAATCAGGTCATTTTCCAAGTCCCTTCCAACTTTGATGTATGAGATCTTAGACTTGAGATTCCACAGCCTCCCATTCTGAGAGTGCGGAGCCGGCCAGCCCTTGTTAGGAGGCAGCTCGTCTGTGGTTTGGCACCACTGCCCAGCAGGCATTTATTAAATCAGTGCGACGTGGTCCCTGCTGGCCTGGAAAAAGAACATTAAGCTCCAAAAACTTCCTGCAGCAGGCCTCCTTCAGAGAATGCTGCTCAGAGGGTTGAGGAACAAAACCATTCAGACCCCTGGCTGTGCTCCAAGATCCTGTTCACTAGTACTTTTGCCCTGTCTGCACGGAGAACTGGGGACTAAAAACATCTGGAAGTCTGCTTAAGACCTGGGCAAGTTGTCTTTTCTTCCTTTGGGGGTGGCTGTTCTTGACCCTGGTAATCCAGGCTGACCTCTGCCAATGCCCCTTCGCTTTCAATCTTCTGCACTTCATTGGGCAACAGCTTTCTAATAAAATCCACATGAATCCAGCTGCTAACAGCTCCTGGAAGGGCTGTGGGATCTAACACCTGCTCCTGCATTCCTTGAGCCCTAGTAGCAAGGGAAAACAGGGCTGAGACCCAGCTGTAGCATCTCTGGGTCTTACAGTGGAGTTGTGGACAAAGAGAGTAGATAGGAGGGCTGGGTGTGGTGGCTTACGCCTGTAATCCCAGCACTTTGGGAGGCCAAGGTGGGCGGATCACCTGAGGTCCAGAGTTCGAGACCAGCCTGACCAACATAGTGAAACCCCGTCTCTACTAAAAAATACAAAATATTAGCCGGGCGTGGTGGCGGGCGCCTGTAATCCCAGCTACTCAGGAGGCTGAGGCAGGAGAATCACTTGAACCCAGGAGACAGAGGTTGCAGTGAGCTGAGATCGTGCCATTGCACTACAGCCAGGGCAAGAAGAGCGAAACTCTGTCTCAAAACAAAACAAAAAAAAGTAGATAGAAAGAGAAAAACATTAATGATGAGGTTTTGCTGAGGGTGGGGAAGGCAGCTTCAGGTGAGGAATGCACAGGTGTAGTGATATGACTGCTGGGTGGCCCAGCAGATTCCTTTGGGTCTGGGCTTGTCTCATTCCCAGTGACCTTAGTCATGTTGACAAGGCTTATCACTCTGTGAGGCAGGCCTGGGCTGAGACCACAGAGTGCATGTGTCACTGACCTGGGGGTTCAGGGTTGCCTGTCCCTCCTCTGTTGTGACTCGGGGAGTCCAAAATTCCTCCTATCTCTAATTATTTATTTATTTGAAGTGGAGTCTCGCTCTGTTGCCCAGGCTGGAGTGCAGTGGGCTCTCAGCTCACTGCAACCTCCGCCTCCTGGGTTCAAGTGATTCTCCTGCCTCAGCCTCCCAAGTAGCTGGGACTACAGGCATAAGCCACCATGCCAGGCTAATTTTTGCATTTTTAGTAAAAACAGGTTTTCACCATGTTGGCCAGGCTGGTCTTGAGCTCCTGACTTCAGGTGATCCACCTGCCTTGGCCTCCCAAAGTGCTGGGATTACAGGTGTGAGCCACCGTGCCCAGCCTATTTATTTACTTTTGAGACAGTCTCACTCTGTTGCCTAGGCTGGAGTGCAATGGCACCATCTCAGCTCACTGCAACCTCCACCTCCCAGGTTCAAGCAATTCTCCTGCCTCAGCCTCCCAAGAAGCTGGGATTACAGGTGTGCACCACCACGCCCAGCTGTTTGTGTTTTTAGTAGAGCAAGATGGTCTTAAACTCCTGACCTCAAGTTATCCACCCACCTCGGCCTCTCAAAGTGCTGGGATTATAGGCGTGAGCCACCATGCCTATCTAGTCTCTAATTATTTAAGGTAATATTTTTATTTTTTGAGACAGTCTTGCTTTGTCGCCCAAGCTGGAGTGGGGTGGCACGATCTCAGCTCACTGTAACTTTCATTTTCCAGGTTCAAGTGATTCTTTGCCTCAGCCTCTCGAGTAGCTGGGATTACAGGTGTGTGCCACCACCCCCAGCGAATTTTTGTATTTTTAGTAGAGACAGGGTTTCACCATGTTTCCCATGCTAGTCTCAAACTCCTGACCTCAAGTGATCTGCCCACCTCGGCCTCACAAAGTGCTGGGATTACAGGTGTTAGCCATCGTGCCCAGCCCTATTTAAGGTAATATTTACTGAGTACTTACAACATATGTGCCTGGTGCTGGTGAACGATATATTAGTGAGTAGAACAGACCCAGTTCCTGCACTCCAGTCCCACTCACTTGGAAATCCTGACTATGGGTCACAAAGTCTCAGGGCCACTGGTGGGGATGGGGTGGGTGTGCTTGGCATTCTAGAGGCAAGAGAGCCATCCTGGCAGCGCTGGGTCTCTTCCATTTGGAATCCCTAGCTCTTAAGTTCTCTGGGGATACTGTATGGACACCGAGTTCCCTCTGGTTAAGGTCAGAACTCTGATTCACTTCAGCTTTCTTCTTCCCACCAATGCCAAAAGTCCAAGAAATAAACACAACAGGTTAGAAGGACAACCTTGAGCTGCTTGCAGTTTATTTATAAAATACAAGGTACACTTACTGGGCCTGGCCTTTTTTATTTTTATTCTTTGCCTTCCTTTCCACCCAGCCAAGATTTTTGCATGCTCTCATCTGGGAGTTGAGCCGATTTCACGAATCTATCTGCTCTTGGCTGTGATGAGCCAAATACTAGCACAACCTTCCCTGGACCTGAGGGTGGCTTCATCTTAGAAGGCCCACAAGGATCCTACTGAAGCAAATGACTCTGCTCCAGTCAGCTCAGGCCTCTGTGGAGCAAAGAAACTGGTGTCCTTCTTGGAGTGCTGCCTTCATCTCCTTGAACTGAGCCAACTGGCAGGCCTCCTCCAGCCCCAGCCAGCAGTAGGCTTGGTGCTCATGGGAGAGGCGGATCTCCACATCATAGTCCTTCACCTCTGCCAGCCAGTAAATGACTGTTTTAGGCTTGTTCCTGGCCACATAATTGAGTTCTCTTTTGAACCCCTCAATGATGGTCAGCTGGCCTGCTTCTATGCCCGCTTCCTCTCGAGTCTCCCTCAGGGCTGTTTCCAAGTCATCCTCTCCTGGTTCCACATGGCCTAGTTAGGAGAAAATAGGAAGAAAAGGAGGAGGAAATCTTCCAAAGTTCCCAAAGCTGGATTTTCCAGACTATATATATTTTTTTTTCTGTTTTGTTTTGAGACAGGGACTCACTCTGTTGCCCAGGCCAGAGTGCAGTAGGGCAATCAGCTCACCGCAGCCTTGAATTCCTGGGCTCAAGTGATCCTCCCACCTCAGCCTCCTGAGTAGTTAGAACAACAGGCATGTGCCACCATGCCCAGCTAATTTTTTGTTTATTTATTTATTTATCTGGTAAATATGGGGTCTCACTATATTTCCCAGGCTGGTCTCAAACTCCTGGCCTCAAGTCATCCTCCTGCCTCAGCCTCCCAAAGTGCTGAGATTACAGGTATGAGCCACCACACCCAGCCATTCAGTGACTTTTCTAGGTGTTCCTAGGCTAAAGGAAGCCTGGAGATTGGCAATATCCTAACATGCCTAGGAAGGGGGTATAGGGCAGGTAGTGTCTAGTTCTTGGGGTTTGAGCAATCCCACCTTCCCACTCCATCTTCTCTGCAGAGAGTGAAACAGACCATGTGTATAGCAAGTCAGGTGTAGAATACTGCTCTTTGATGGTATGAGATGACCTTCTTCAGATGTCTGCTTTCTTATTCTTTGGAACTTTCTTCATCCCATGCTCTAAGGAATCACTTTTCTACTGGAGACCTTAAAGTGACCTTTTCCAAGGAGGGGGAAGTCCTTTCTTAACAAGTGGAAGTTAGCTGACGAGGAAGTACTTTGCCTACAATCCAGTGAGGACTTAACATTGTCTGCAGGTGGACCCTGACATTCCAGGGCCAAAAGACAGGCTCAAAACCCTGCACAGCTGAATAAGCAGCTGTTTCCATTAAGCTACCAGGCTTTTTCCAAATTGTTTTCCTCTTTCTTACTGGGCAAGGCCAGATTTCAGTTTCATAGGGAAACCCTTGATGGGAACTTAGACTAAGGGCCAGCTGAGAACCACTTCTAAGAAAATATGTTAGCAACACCCAAACCCAAGAAGACAGCTGCCAAGAAACTGCTGTGGGAGAACTTGAAGCTCTGCAGGCTGGAGCAGCTCTCAGTTTTACCTCTAGGCCCCTCCCACAAATCCTTAGCTTCCCCAGAGGGGGCAAGGACTGGGAAGGGTCTGGCAGACTCTGTCTACACTTGGCTCCAGTAAGTTTCTAGGGAGGCCTCCTGGCTCACAGGCTCATGGGGAGCAGAATCTCTCAGTTGTTCCCTACTTGGTTTGGAGATTGGGGGCCCTCCTCCTTCCCAGGGGTCTACAATGCCCAGAGCCAGTTGCTGCACAAAAAACTCCCCAGGGGCCGGGTGCGGTGGTTCATGCCTGTAATCCCAGCACTTTGGGAGGCCGAGGCAGGTGGATCATCTGAGGTCAGGAGTTTGAGACCAGCCTGGCCAACATGGTGAAACCCTGTCTCTACTAAAAATACAATAATGAGTTGGGCGTGGCAGCGGGCGCCTGTAATCCCAGATACTTGGGAGGCTGAGGCAGGAGAATCACTCGAGCCCGGGAGGCGGAGGTTGCAGTGAGCCGAGATTGTGCCATTGTACTCCAGCTTGGGCAACACAGGGAGACTCGTCTCAAACAAACAAACAAAAAAACCCAGAAACTTAGTACTTAAAAACCATTCTAGCTTACGGCTTCTAGGGAATTTTCTCTGCACAAGTACCTCCTATAGTGGTGTACACAAAGACAGATAGGTAATGCATCGGGGGAGCAAGGTGGGAGGGATGCTGCTAGTGACGGGTGATACTGATTCTGGACGTCCCACCTACCCTCAGAGGTGTATGGAAGTCCCTGAGTGCACCCCTCCCAGGGGCATCTATTCAGTATTCTGCCCATCAGTGTTAATTAACAGGGTAGCTTCTGCTGAAGCAGGAAAGGATTAGGAGCGGTCCACTGACATCAGGTAGAGAGAGGAACAAGGCAGTGTGACTCAGGTGATCTGGAGACAAGCGTGACTATTCCTATTCACAGTATTTGTGAAGCTTCTGTCTCTTTTTTCACTTTGTTTCTCCCCAGTACAACTCAAACATGCAAAATTTATTTCCTGTTCCCATTTCCTTATTTTCCTTCAATTCTGGATCTTTGTCCAACCCTTCTAACCCCACTCCCTTTTAAAGTCCCTGCTTTCGGCCGGGCGCGGTGGCTCAAGCCTGTAATCCCAGCACTTTGGGAGGCCGAGGCGGGTGGATCACGAGGTCAGGAGATCGAGACTATCCTGGCTAACATGGTGAAACCCCGTCTCTACTAAAAATACAAAAAAAAACTAGCCGGGCGTGGTGGCGGGCGCCTGTAGTCTCAGCTACTTGGGAGGCTGAGGCGGGGAGGCGGAGCTTGCAGTGAGCCGAGATCACGCCACTGCACTCCAGCCTGGGAGCACAGCGAGACTCCGTCTCAAAAAAAAAAAAAAAAAAAGTCCCTGCTTTCGGCTAGGTGTGGTGGCTCACGCCTATAATTCCAGCACTTTGGGAGACCAGCTGGGCAGATCACTTGAGCCCAGGAGTTCAAGACCAGCCTGGGCAATATAGTAAGACCCTGTCTCTATGAAATAATAATAATAATAACAAAATAATTTTAAAAATAAAGTCCCTGCTTCCTTCTATCTGAGAGCTATTCCTCATTCCAGCAGGCACCTGAGCCACAGTCTGTCCCTCCCAACTCAAACCAATCCCAATGGCCTCAGCTAAGAAGGGCTCCTTTTTCCCATTTCTGCCTACACAGCCTGGCTTCTCTTTCAGGACTAAATGACTGCAGCTTTCTGACTCTTAGAGGTGGGGTCAGGAGTACTAGTGGATGAAAACTGGCCAGCTTACAAACAGATGTTGGCTTGGCCTAAGGCCAAGTAGTCTTCACTGTTCTTTCCTCTGGAGACTTGGCCAACTCCACCCTCAGTGCTGAGTGATAGACTCAAGGCACAGGTAGCTAGCTGGTCAAGCTGCAATTCCAAGGTCTCCATAATCTTTACAGCCTCCTGGTCTAAGAAGGCCCTGCCCATCCCCTCACTCCTCCACTCCTGCCACAATCCGCAGATGAATCTATGATCAGGGAGCCCAACTTCTCTATGCTCCAACTCAAAATACAACTATGTTCAGAAACACTGTAGAAGTCATACTCTCTGTGTTTAGTTCAAAAGAAAAACCGGGCCGGGTGCAGTGGCCCACGCCTGCAATCCTAGCACTTTGGGAGATCACCTGAAGTCAGGAGTTTGAGACCAGCCTGGCCAACATGGTGAAACCCCGTCTCTACTAAAAATACAAAAATTAGCCGGGTGTGGTGGCGGGTGCCTGTAATCCCAGCTACTCGGGAGGCCGAAGCAGGAGAATTGCTTGAACCTGGGAGGGGGAGGTTGCAGTGAGCTGAGATTGTGCTACTGCACTCCAGTCTGGGAGACAGAGACTTCATCTCAAAAAATAAATAAATAAATAAAAAGAAAAACCTAATGATAGGGACGCTGAACTAGGAGTCAAAGGAAATTGATCAAATGAAATCAGAGACAGGCTAGAAGAAAACTTAGGATTTTCTTTTTTTTTGAGACAGGCTGTGTTGTCCAGGCTGGAGTGCTATGGCACGATCTCGGCTCACTGCAGCCTTGATCTCTCGAGCTGAAGTTATTCTCTAACCTCAGCCTCCTGAGTAGCTGGGAGTACAGGTGTGCACCACCATGCCTGGCTAATTTTTGTATTTTTTGTAGAGACAGGGTTTCGCCATTTTGCCCAGGCTGGTCTCAAGCTCCTGGGCTCAAGCAATCTGTCCACCTCGACCTCCAAAAGTGCTGGGATTATAGGCATGTGCCTGCCCAAAACCTTAGGATTTTCTAATCAAGCCCTTGTTTGACAGATGAAAAACCCAAAGCTCAGAGAGGTGGGCACACAACTCAGTCAATCTCAAGGTCCCCAATTCCCTGCCCACTGGCTTTTCTCTTACCCAGCCATTCACCACAGAGGTTGGAGAGCTGGCGAATGATACTCATAAAAACACCCTGGAATTCAGTCACAGAATTCTATTTCCAGCTCTACTCTGGCCTGGTCTAGAGACCTTGTATGTAGAAAGGTTCAAGGCTCCTACCTTCCCTACCTCCTTTTGCTACATAGTCACTGGGAATCAAGCCTTGGGGAGGGCCTGGCTGGGTAGATTTCTGAGCAGCGCTTGGCAGTTTCCCAAGAGCTGGCCCCTCTGGCGTCTACCTTTGGGAGGAGTCCAGTGATGAATGCCATCTGATGCCTGCAGCAGTAAAAACTCAATTGTATTGTTGTCCACTTTGGGAATGAGGCATCTTCGGAAGATGATCAAGCCACATGCTCTCAGGGCCATGGTCTTATCCTAAGGATTTAACAAAGAAGATACAGAATATTGGGAAGTTACACAAAATAGGAAGCTCCATACTGGGGGGTAGCAATCTGGTGCTGGACAGTAGCACAGACTAGCTAACTGTGATCTCATAGCCCACAGAAAAAGGCAGCATGCCCAGGAACAATGGAGGGCATCCAGGAATCAGAGACTGACCTTTGTGTCTAACTGCAGGACCTTGGCAACTACCCTCAGTTCAATGTGGCCTCTATCCCAACACCTCCAGGGCTCCCTGTAAAACAGGGCTGGCATGCATTTGTTATGCCACTGGAGATCCTCAGAAGCAAACGTACTGAAACAAGAGAGATGCTGGGAATGGGAGAGAAGCAGTACAAGTTTTATCATCAAACCCGTAACCCCATTTGCCCCAGCCCATATCCTGAGCCCCTGAAGCGCACAGCCCCCCAGCAATGTGGTTTCTGACAATGCAGAGAGGTCATCTACGGAGGAGGGTAACTTCATAGAGAAAAAAATATTTCGTTGAGTTTTTGTTTTTCTTTTGAGACAGGGTCTCCCTACATTGCCCAGGAAGTGATCCACCTACCTCAGCCTCCCAATGTGTTGGGATTATAGGCATGAGCCACCATGCCCAGCCTGATATTTTTTTAGTCTTTTATTTTATCCATTTTTTGTTTTAAGAGACAGGACTCACTATGTTGCCTAGAATGGCCTCAAACTCCCGGACAGAAGTGATCCTCCCCCGGGTGGATCATGAGGTCAAGAGATCGAGATCATCCTGGCCAACATAGTGAAACCCTGTCTCTACTAAAACTACAAAAATTAGCCGGGCGTGGTGGGCACGTGCCTGTAACCCCAGCTACTCAGAAGGCTGAGGCAGGAGAATCGCCTGAACCCGGGAAGTGGAGGTTGCGGTTGTGGTGAGCCGAGATCGGACCACTGCACTCCAGCTTGGCGACACAGGAAGACTCTGTCTCAAAAAAAAAAAAAAAAAAAAACAAAAAAAGAAAGTGGTCCTCCCCCTCAGCCTCCCAAGCAGCTGGCAATACAGGCACATGCTACCATTGCCTGACATTCCTGGTGCCCGGGGGTAGCAGAGCTGATGCAGAGAGGGCGGCTAGAGCAGGAGTTGCTATCCTCCATGGCCCCTTTGCTGGTGCTCAATCAGGATGAGTTTGCAGCTGTCAAAGGCATAAAAATCAGGCCCAAACAGAAACCTACTCCAGGGCAATTCTCAGGACTGCCAACAGATGGTAATGTTACTCTAGAGAATAGCAGTTTCTCACCAACACCAAGATCTTTCCAAGCTTTTCCAAACCTGTAACAAAAGTTTTTAAGGATTGGAAATAATCTGAAAGGGGATTTCTGAAATGATCTGTGCTCTCATATACTGTTGGTAGAAAAGTAAATTCGCATATCCCCTTAGGAGGACAATTTGACAATAATTATCAAAACATAAAATGCACATTCCCTAAGAGTCAGCAATTCCATTTCTAGCCACTCTCACATAAGAAATATAGGTTTAAGGCCGGGCGCGGTGGCTCAAGCCTGTAATTCCAGCACTTTGGGAAGCCGAGATGGGTGGATCACAAGGTCAGGAGATCGAGACCATCCTGGCTAACACGGTGAAACCCCATCTCTACTAAAAAAATACAAAAAACTAGCCGGGCGAGGTGGCGGGCGCCTGTAGTCCCAGCTACTCGGGAGGCTGAGGCAGGAGAATGGCACGAACCTGGGAGGCGGAGCTTGTAGAAAGCTGAGATCCGGCCACTGCAGTCCAGTCTGGGCGACAGAGCGAGACTCTGTCTCAAAAAAAAAAAAAAAAAAAATAGGTTTAAGATGTATACACAATGATGTTCACTACAACTTTGTTTGCAATATCAAAAAGGAAAAGAGCTAGAAACAAATATCCATCAATATGGGAATGGGCAAAAAGTACAGTATATCTATATGATGAAATAGTATGAAGCCATTAAAAAAATGAGGTCAAGGCTGGGTTCAGTGGCTCATGCCTTTAATCTCAGCATTCTGGGAGGCTGAGGCAGGAGGATCACCTGAGTCCTGGAGTTTGAGACCAGCCTGGACAACATAGTGAGACCTCATCTCTACAAAAAAATAGAAAAAAATTAGCCAGGTGTGGTGGCATGCACCTGTAGTTCCAGCTACTTGGGAGGCCAAGGTGGGAAGATTGCTTGAGCCTGGAAAGTTGAGGCTGCAGTGAGCCATGTTTGCATCACTGTACTCCAGCCTGGGCAATACAGTGAGACCTTGTCTCAAAAATAAAAGAAAAAGAAAAAAAAAAATTAGGTCAAGCCTAATGTGCTGCTTGTAAGAAAAATTTTTAGACACATGAAAAGAAGATAGTTCTGAATAGTATGTATAATGAAATCCCTGTTTGAGTTTACAAAATCATATATAAAGTGGTAGGCTTTCATTAAACACCATGTTCTATTTTCCTGGACTCCCTGTTTATGCCAAGATCTTACCCCATTCCAGAAGCCAAAAGGAAGCACCCCATCACTGTAGAACTGGTGAACAAAGATTTCATATCATTGGTCCATGGCTGAGGCAGAAACAGGTAGCTAATCCCATGCCCTCCCTACAAAGATGTTCAAAAAGCATTAGAAAGTTATAGATGTAGGGTACCTTGCTCCTGCCTCAGGTCCCATGGAATGAATGTTAGAATCCCTAAATAAGCTTAGGGATCCAAGACTAGAGGGCACAGTGCCCTGCCTAAGACAGGAACTCCATACCACTGCCACCATCAGCACAGCATGGACAAGCAAAGATGCCTGCATGGGGAGCCAAGAAAGACAAGCCTGCGTTGGCCACATGGAACCACTGGGGAGAGGAGAGCAGCGGTGGGGTGGGGGAGGAATCTTAGGGTAGTGACAAGGGTATACCCTAGCAAGAATGTATTTCAGTGGACGCCAGTATATTAGGGATGACTACATCTAAGAACCACATCAGCTAACAGTTCATCTCAATGGGGCCAGAAGAGCTAGGATCAGATGCTCATTCTCCACCTATATTCTGGACCCATGGAAAGAACAGTTCTTCTAGAAATACAGAACTCCTCACTGCTCTTTCAATTGCTTGACTTGAGCCAACTATTCTCTAGAATTCCTCCTACCCACTCTATACACACAACCTCCTACTCGTCAGAAGCAGCTCAGATGTCACCTCCTTTGTGAAACTTTCTGGCTTTAATCACTCCATGTTCTGCGTCCTTAACATGGCTTGAACAAACTTAAAAGTTCAATCAGGGAAGCAAATGCTATGAGTGACAGAAAACTAAAGATTTATTATAAGGAGTAGACATTGTGTATTTTTAGAAGTTGGCGGAGAAATCCATGCAACTCTGTCGCCTCTGCACCTGGTGTTGGGCCTGAAGTCTGTGAGGCCAGCAGTTAGGAAGAAAACTGGATGTGAGGTGGAAGAGAACAAAGACAAACTGGAACCTCTGAGAACAAACTGGGATCTACAAGGACAACTGGAACTCATGAGGACAAACTGAAACCCACAGCTTCCTTTCACTGGCTGCAAGCTCAGCGACTCAGGTGATCTGGAGAAGCTGGAGCCCTCTGCTACAAAGCTGACTGCACACATGGCCCAGGACTCAGAGGAGCTGAAGGAGGAAATTCAGTAGGAGCTGGGGGTGCTGGGGGCTGTGTGATGACCTTCACCAACAAGGTGAGCCAGCAGATCAGAGAGAAAGTACAGGCACTGCCACCATGCCTGGTACCCTGCTCTGTCCTACACAGTGTACAGACCCAGCTCTGTCCTTCACAGTGTACCGGCCGCTACTTCAATTCAGCTTTCCAAATCTCTCACGAAATTTTCTTGTGGACAACCCTCACCTGGAAGCAGATGGGAAGGACACTGGGAATCCAGCGTAGCTAAACTGACACAGTACAATGCCACCACAAGCGCATATACCTAGTATAGTAAATCTCTGCTGCTGCCTCTGGAGGGGAAGAGCCAGATTATAAGCTCTGTTTTCTTGGGACCCAGCACAGCAGTTCTGAACAGATGTTCATTGACTCAAAAGAACTCTCTCCCCACCTCCCACTCAAACAAATGTTTGAGTATGTTCTGGGGCCCTGGGAAATAGCCCAGTGTTTTCCTGAAGAGTGCCATTTACATAAAAGTGAATGGAGCTATTGTTGGGGGTTTTCTGATTTTCTGGAGACCACAAAGCTGAAACTGTCCACGGGTTTGAAAGTAGCCAGCTTTCACACACAGACTCCAAGTGGATTCAAACCTCAGGGGGTTAAAGAACACAGCATCCAATATGCAAATATGCCTGCAGCCAGGATTGCGGAGGTGAGAACTCCAGGCTGACAGCAGGCAATTCACACTTCAAAAAAGTGGCAGAGTGCCTGAGGTGGTTAGAAAAAACCTGAACCAAAAAACCCTCAATGTCATCAGAAGGTTCCAGAAGCTAAGGAAAAATATTCTTGGCTTTCTCCATATATACAATTCCCTCAGAGCCTAGGAGGTTCGGGACCTAGGTACCAAAAAAAGAATTTACAAATACATGGCTATGCTGTTTGTTTCAATATTTTCGTCAAATTAATCAGAGTAACTTTAAAAAGCTCTCGGAAATGTAATTTTAGGTTCAGGTAGAGCTCTCCAAATTTTCCCTCTGACCTGTTCTCCATAGTCTAATATCCCTTTAGCAAAAACAGCATTTCATGTCGTGTTATCAATTAAGCATCTATATATACTGTGCCAGCTATACTGTGCAAGACTTTTGACAACTATTGTTTCTAAAGCTCAAAACGATCTTTCAAGAGAAGCATTATTGTATCTAGTTTACAAGGACACTGATATTATTTTAAAGGGTTAAAATACTTGCACAAGGGCATAGCTGGTCTGTAAATGGTGGGATCTCAATCTAAGTAAGTCTAACTCCAAAGTCTATAATTTTTGTCCCTATCATAGCTCTGTTCACCATAAAAGAGTAGGGCTTAGGACACAAATGGCCCTGAGAGAGGACAGACACAAATGATTTATAAAATCATTTCCAGTTTCAAAATTCCCAGTCTTTTTTTTTTTGATAGGGTCTCCCTGTGTCATCCAGGCTGGAGGGCAATGGTATGATCGCAGCTCACTGCAGCCTCAGGGCTCACTGCATCCCTTCTGGACTCAAGGAATTTTCCTGTCTTAGCCACCTGGGTAGCTAGGACTACAAGCAGGAGCCATCACAACTGGCTAAATTTTAAAAACACTTTTTTTGTAGAGATGGGGTCTTGCTATGCTGACCAAACTAGTCTTGAAGTCCTGGCCTTAAACGATCTTCCCACTTTGGCCTCCCAAAGTGCTGGGATTACAGGTGCAAGTTACCGTG